GCAAGGACTGTCATCCTTTTTCATGGACTTTGGTAATTCTTCAGTACACTGCTCTAGATTTCTCTTGGCCTTCAAGATAAGCAATTCAATTTTGTCACCTAATTGTAAAAGATGACTATTAATCCTTAAAGAAAAAAATTAATGTAAAGCATAGCAAGATCTCACAAAGTCAACAAGAGTTCTGATCATTTGGAATGTACATTCATCTATAACAGCAAATTATGTTACAATGTGACATCTCAAGCAAAGAAAAAAATGGGAGAAAAGACATATTCTAGGTACAAAATGCTGTATGTGAAGATTATAAGCATTTTAAAAAGATGTATTACATGAAAACAAAACATAAAAGCTCCCAGATATCACATCAACTTACAGCATTTCTTTTGGTTTAAAAAAAAAGAAAAAGAACTATAAGCTATAAACAAAGTATTACCACTGAATGGCTTTGTGGATTGTCCTGGGAGAAGTGGATTCTCACATTCACATTGACTATGTTCAAAATCACATTTGTATTCATTAACTAATTCTTTATCATCACTCAAGGAATTTGAAAAGTTTGAGGGTTCAAAAGCATATTCAAAACAATCTAATTTATTCATAAGCTGAGAAGTTCCTTGTGCCTGACGACTGTGTCTATGGGAACACTGATCATCTTTAAATATTTGACAAACCCTTTGACTATTTGCATCAGGTAGCAAGTCTTGATTGTGGAGCCAGACTGGGTATTTGAAATCAGGTATACTAGTTATCCCTGAAACATTAAGGTCAGATTTCTGGCTAGTGAGCCATCTTGGATAATTCTTTTCAAGACTGTGTTCTGAACTGTCCTTGAAAGACGATTTCTTGGGAAAAGACAAAGATGATTCAGAAATGCAATTATTAGTCCTATTCATAAGTTTTGGGTTTTTTAGCCTACCACATTGCTTTCCATTTATATTTGTGCATACAACAGGAGTAACAAAGTTATCCTTGCCCACGGGAGTGGAGGGTCCTTGAAAATCTGGATTCTTCTCAACGTCTGATGAACCCAGTCTTCCATGGCATTTCTTGTTTATCTTGTTCGTTCGGTGACTCGGTCCAACATAAGTATAAGAAAATGATCCATCTGCTGGGAGTCTTAAAAGATCATCAGTTGTTAGGCTCATGGAGTCTATGTCATTAATAGTCTGTCTTCTACAGGATATGAAGTTTGAGTGCTTTTTGTGATCAAGGTTTTCAAAAGCTGAAAAACAAATAACAGTTCTATTTATTACAAACAAATATTTTATAATATCCAACAGTAAATGAGAATTAAGAATTTAAAAGTTATTTTGCTGCTTTCCCCTTATCCTCACTAAAGCTTCGATTAAAAGTATAAAAAGGTATAGGTTGATAAAATAGGATGTGCTTTTTTTCTCACATGATTCTTCATTCTGTGTTAATTTCTGCATGTTTCTCTCCAACCTCCTGAATTTTCCTGTGTTCTCGAATTTACTGTTTCTTCAACTTTTTTCATCTAGACATATTTGATACACTAATACAATCATAGTAACATTGGTCACTCAGTATTGGCTGTAGCTTAGAAAAAAATATGCTATTAAACTAGGTGGAAAAATAACTTGTTTTCTCACCTACAAACCCTGCAATGGCATGGATTACACATAGAGAACAGCTCTTCTCATTCTTTTCTTCTGGAATATACTGACCACATACCCCTAAGAACTGAACACAAACTTTTTCTATTCTAGGGTCGTTCTGTAAGTGTTCAGTAAAGTAGTAACTGACTTATCAACAACTGCATTTTCCAAACCTGTCTTCAAGGAAGCTTTATTATGGACAAACTCTTAACATCTTGTGAATATTAACATCTTGTGAATGTTCCATAGAGAATTATATAATCATTTTACAAAAATACCCAGATCTCAATATTATAAGTTATTTTTACTCAAAAATAACAATAATAATGTCAAACTTTACAATATTACAGTACATCTCTCAAATGCTTCAAAACATATGAACATAAAGAAAACATAAAAAATAAAAGCATACCATTGTTTGGTTTGTAAATATAGTTGCAGAACTGTGACATATTAGTAAAATTCTCATCAATGTTAATTTTTCCAGTGCTGGTACCAGGATACATTTGGCTTAGATCAAAATCATCAATATAAGCCTGTAGAGCTTGAGAAGCAGATCTGTACAGCTTATCTTTATAGTGATAAGAGCCATCAGAATTAGAGGAATTACTACCACTCAGGCTGCAGCTTGCCAGCAGCGAAGACACTGAAGATTCCCGAGAACAAAGTCTATGTTTTGTCTTTGATTTTGCCATGGCTTCTTCAAAGTGGATTATTTCTATTCATTTCCCTTAAAAACAACTGTAATACAAAAACAAAATGTTAAGGTGCCAATTAAAATAGTGACCATATACAAACAAAATTACTAAATATGTAAACCTTTCATAATTTTCTTTAAAGAATAAAATCCATTATCTATAACAGACACTCCTTGTTTGGAATTGTAGATTTTTTTGTTATCTTTATTATTGTGAATTTCTTAATCAATGATTTAGAAAACATTTTGTGAGTACCTACTACGTGCCTGGAAGTATGTATACAAAAATAATCTGAGAATATACATGGAAAAGACCAAGGAAAGAGTACTCACTCCTTAAAAAGTCCTAAAAACTACTTACGAATAGTCTTTTCTCTTATGGTGATATATTCTATGACATCACAATACCTAAAATTCCCCTATACACAATATTTTTCAAATTATAAGCCTACCACCATGTGCTGCAAATAGTGCTCAATAATTTTTTTAAAGCCATCAAATGAAGTATTCAAAAGAAGAAGGAACAAAGGAGAATATTTACTTTCAATGTTATAAATGCTAGTACATTTACAACATTTAACTGTAAATAAACTGTAGGTCTTATTCTGGAATGAGCTAGCAATATGCACGTTTCCTAACATAGTTAATAACCACTTCCTGACCTTCGTTTTTTGCTACCACCCTCCCTATTTTCAATTCTTATGTTAAATGGATTCAGCTCACCTCTTTTAAAGGAACCTTAAATAATGTGAAAATCAACTCAACGTGTTCTTCTTACTGTTTGTCCGTTATTAAAATTGAGAGAATCCCTGTCCACCTCAGTACAGTAATTGCATGTATATTTGAAAACCTAAGAAATAACAGAACGAACCGGCACTAATTCAGTCCATGATGACATTCTTTTTAAAATTAAAGCAATTGATATCCTATACTAAAAAAGTACTGTTGAGGACTTAACATATGCTATGATGTTATAATGTTTAATTTTTGGCTATAATTTTAGAAATATTTAAGTTAGAACAACTTGTAATCTTAACTATTAAATTTGGCTTTAAAATATCGAAAGTTTTCTAATTAAATAAGAGACAAAGTAAGACATCATCCTACCACAGCGTTAGAGCATACAATGGCCATTACAAGAGATCTGACCGTGGTCAGTGCAAATGGCAGAACATATGGAGGTAACAGTTGTTTCGTCTCACTGATTTCTCTGAATGCTGTAATACTGGTATTATCTCTGACGAATGGCTAAACTAAGCCAGCTTCACCTTTTTCGTATCCCTTTTATTTAAAGAAGTTTGAATTCACTCAAATAAATTTGTTTGGATAAGCCTGACCAAACGTTTTCCCTCTTTGAATGCCGAACAGGCTACTGATTTTATTTTACAAAACCTTAAAAGAGAAAGCTGTTGTATTGGTATCTGTAAGTGGATGATAACATTTACTAGTTATTTCAACACACAGGACAGACAAAAAGAAAATGCACAATTTAAGTTTTATTATGAAAAGTTTTCCAACTTTTCCCCAAAAGTGTATGCAAAAGTAGAATCATTCAATAAACCCCTATGCACTCATTATCCTGCTTCCAACAATCACTGAACAGATCCCAGTTGTGGCTGAAGGTGGGTATGGACCCACCCACTTCTTCCCACTTCAGCCACAGGATTATTTTGAATCCCATATATCTCACGCAAATCCCATATATCTTACCATTTCCTCTGTACAGGCTTCAGTTCGAATCTCCAAAAGAAAATCCATCACGCAGAAAAACAGAATTTTAAACTTATTGACAAGAAATTTCAACTACCTTTGATTCAAAAACAGAACGTTCAGTGTCAAATAGCCAATGGGAATATCGCACAGGAAATTAAGAACAACTCTTGGAAATAGCTCTGTAACTCCTAAGTTAGGAAAGGGAACGTTTGTTTACTCAGCAGCAGAAAGCCAGGAACCCACGACTGGTCAGCGAAGGTCGCCCGCACCCCGCGCTGCGCATCTTTCCCCTACCGGGCGCTCTGAATTCCGACTTTTCCAGCCCCAATCAGGCGACATCCTCCCTTTGATGTTCCACCGCCCGGCAGTCACAGACACAGACAAGGTCTTCAAAGAGGTGCTTTTCACTCCGAAACCATTTATTCAGCAACCAGGGCGAGCGCCGCAATGGACTGAAGGAGAAGTGTTCGGAAGCGACAGACCCAGAGCGCAAGCCCCTTCCCGTCGCCGCCTCAGGTCCCCAAACGCCTGTGTCAGGCCCCTCCGCCGCGTACCGCGACCCTGCCTTGTCCGGGGGGCACTCCCCCTACAGTGTTCCTCCTTCCACAGAGACTCCACAAGCGCCCTCCCTCAGGAGACGTCTCCTCCTCTTTCCTCGCCACTCTCCTTTCGCCTTTTCTCGGCTGTCACAGGATGGGACAACCCTCGAAAAGACACCGTCCTTCCCGGCCTAACTCACCCCTAAGGCCCCAAAATAAAAATAAAACAAAACAAAAAAAAAACGCACACTTCCACAGCTCTCCGCCGAAAGCTCAGGCCTGTTACCCAATGCGAGACACCGCAAAGCATCCCGAACCCGGACACCGCCCCGCCTCAAGGCTCGCCTCACTCGCAGCTTACTCAGCCGTCACAGCAGAGTTCAACGCCCGCGCTCGCTTTCAAACCGCCCCAACATGGCGCCGGCCTGCGGTGCGCACGCGCGGCAGTGGGGCGCCGGGCGCTAGGGGAGGCGAGGAAGCGGCCAGAGCGGAGAAGAGGATGCTGTGGAGCGTTAGGTCGCGACCCCTGCTGGGAGGTGCTGTTTCTCCCTCCTTTCTGGGGCTGGGAGGGGGCGGATGTGGGCTGCATCCAAGTCGCTGCCCCCCACGCCCTCCCAACCTCCGTCACAGCTAGTCTTGGCCAGTTTGCGCGGGGACTGGCTGATCTCCCTTCGGCCGGCCCCGGGGTCTGGCGGGAGGGGACTGGATGGGGAGGGAGACTTAAGGGCGCTGGCGGTCGTCGTTCCGGTTGCTGAGAGTCGGCCCCACAGCTCCAGTTTTTCCAAGTGAGCTCAGCCTCCCCGCTTTCAGAGCATCCCCCGCCAAAAATAAGATCATCTCAGCTAGTAGGCAGCCCCCCTCACCACTTCTTTCACTCCCTCTTCAGTGCCTTTCCTATCACACCCCGGAGCCTCTCACACACAAAGCAGATGGCAGATTGGAGAGCCGAGTTTAGCCAGGGATGGGATTTAACAAACTCCTAGGGAACCTTGATTCCCAGGGAAGAATAGCAGTGACCCAGCACGGATTGGGTACCCAGTCAGGCAGCCCAGACAGAGGGACATTATACAAACAGATGTAAAGACCCACTAACATGTGTAAACCTGATTGCAAGTCTGGAAAGAATCCAGTTTCAACCAATTGGTATATACAAAAAAGAGGCCATCCCAATCTTGGTTTATGTTTATTTTCCACTGACCCTATGAGTGAAGATATCCTTGACCATGACTCCATCTGAATATGTTCCAGCTCATCCGATGTCCCATCACCAGGTAATACAACTGTAGTCTTACTGTTTGTGCTTTCTTCTTTTTACTCTTTGTGGCCTACTAAATTTTACCTTCCCTTTTCTCTTAACAAATGAAAAAAGCCCGGAAGCTATAACGTTCAGTTTAGTGGTTAAACACAAGTCTATTGTGGCAGTAATAGTTGGTGATTTGAAAATAAGACATACCCTGCTAGCGGTATGTCCCAATAATCTTCAAAGTGTCTGGATCAGTTAATATCAAGTAGGTTTCTAATAGGAAATCAAGAACGGTGTTTTATGCTAAGACAAGCCCTGTTCAGGGATTAAACAAGGATTGTTAATGACCTGAGCTTAAAAAGTTAGATTTTGGTATCCACGTTCCACCTAAATGTCTTTTTAAACTGAGTTTCTTTAAAACGGTTTCTTGGCCGCGGCCGGTGGCTCAGGCCTGTAATCCCAGCACTTTGGGAGGCCGAGGCGGGTGGATCACGAGGTCAGGAGATCGAGACCATCCTGGCTAACACGGTGAAACCCCGTCTCTACTAAAAAATAGAAAATATTAGCCGGGCGTGGTGGCGGGCGCCTATAGTCCCAGCTGCTGGGGAGCCTGAGGCAGGAGAATGGCGTGAAACTGGGAGGCGGGGCTTGCAGTGAACCGAGATGGCGCCACTGCACTCCAGCCTGGGCCACAGAGCGAGACTTCGTCTCAAAAAAAAAAAAAAAAAAAAAAAAAAAAAGTTTCTTAAAGATTCTAAGTTTTATCTTTTAAAGTTTTTTGTACTAACTTTTTCTTTCATCTTGGGGCGCATATATAGCAAATGTTTCCTAGTGAAGACAAAGTATAGACAAAGGACATTGAGAAGATATAAAGGAAATTATCAAATACATTACCTAATTCATGGATCTAAATAATTCTACTTCTGCCTTGTTTCCTCGCAGGTTAAGAAATATGGAGATTTCCACACGGATTTGGAGAGGAGCTCCAGTGGTTACTAAAATTCTGAATTAAATCTGTGAGGAAAGGTAAAGAAACCAGGACTCTGCTAGGAAAAAGGAGGTTATAATAATGGTTTACTAAAACTTTTCAAATATAGAGGCTATCAACTACTTGTTGTGCCTTGCTGGAGAATTAAATAAGAGAAAATAGATTTATATCCAACCTAAAGAGTTTTAGGTGAGAGCTAAGGAAGAAATGTTCTAATAATTAAACTTTAAGAAGGTTTATTTAAGTGCTTAAGGAGGCAGATCTTTGGAGAATTTTTTAAATGATGGATTTACATGTGTCCATCTTTTAAAGAGAAACTAACCATTTTGATAACCTAGTAAAGGGCTCCACACTGTTTCAAGCATTTTTACATATATTAATTCTCATAATGATTCAGTGAAATAGATATTATTATCCCCATTCTATAGATGTGGAAATTGAAGTTCAAAGATTAAGCAGTTTACCCAACATAATATAGCTGGTGCTAAGTGACAAAGTCAGGATTTGAATCCAGTTCTGCTTTCAACTTACCGGCCAGCTTCCCCTAACTGAAAGCTGGATGATGAACCAAACGACCAGTGAGACTGCAGCTTCCTGAACTCATTCACAGCAGAAATAGTATCTAGTATCTTACTCAATTGTTGTTGCTACACCTACCACGGTGCCTGTCTCAGTCCTTTTGGGCTGCCATAAGAAATTACCAAAGACTGAATGACTTGTAAACAATAAATTTAATTCTCAGCGTTTTGGATCCTGGAAGTCTGAAATCTGGGTGCCAGAGTGGTTAGGTTCTGATGAGGGCCCTCCTCTTGTTGCAGACTGCTACCACTTCTGGCAGTGTCCTCACATGGCAGAAGGGGCCAGTGAGCTCCCTGGGGTTTCTTTTGTGAGGGCTCTAATCCCATTCATAAGGGCTTTGCCCTCATGACCTAATCATCTCCTAATATCACCCTGGGAGTTAGGATTTCAACATATGAATTTTAGGGAGACATAAACATTCAGTCCATTGCAGTTTCTAACTTCAAGTAGGGTTTAGTACATTTAGATTCAGTTGATTTAAACTTGATCCTATCTGAGGAGGTGACATTTAAGCAAAGATATCTATGAAAGAGTTATATGAACACATTGCAGAAGAAAGTGACAAGCAGAAAGAACAGCAAGTACAAAGAACCTGAAGTCGGAAATTGCTTGATTGTATTTGAGGAACAGCCAGGAGATCAAATGATTGGAGCTAAGTGAACAAGAAGAAGCCCGGTAGGAGGTATATTTGAAGAGGAAGCCAGGGGCAAGATAATGTAGTGCCACTGCTACTCACTTTAAAAAGATTAATCCTCAAGAACACATAACTAACAGCTCATGATGCTTCAGAAGAGAAAGGACGCATGATTAAACTGTTAGAAATTAAAATTATTTTTTGAATGTCTATAGTATGCCAGGCACTGGATAGAACCTTAAGCATATCATCTCATTTAATCCTCACACTAATTCTACAAGACAGATATTATCCTGATTTTATACCTTGAGAAAAATGGAAAAACAGAAATACTAAGTAACATGCTTCACAGAATTAATAGGTGGCACAGACAAGATATGACCCAGGTTTCTGATTCCAAAGTCTAGATTTTTCTACTATACCACAGTTTCTTGTTTGAAAGACTGTAAGCAGAGAGGGGTTCATGCATACATGCATTCATCAAGTAATTGTGTTCATTTCTATGTGATAGGCACTATAGAAATAATATTAAAATGTAAGATAGCACTTCTTAAGTTTTTATATGATTATATTCTTACCAGTTGTTTGTTTTTAAAACTTTGCAGACAGATGGACTACAAGGCAATTGCCCAAAAAACTGTCCAAGAAGTTTTAGGTTATACTCAAGATACATCAGGCTGGAAAGTGGTTAAAATTTCAGTAAGAAAATAAGTTAAAATATGTTTCAAGAGTTTGTTTTTAAGTAAGAAACAATTCATTGTAAAGACTTTTAAAAAAAAAAGTATTTTCTGTGCCAGGTGCAGTGGTGTGCACCTATAGTACCAACTACTCAGGAGGCTGAGACAGGAGGACTGCTTGAGCACAGGAGTTTGAGGCTGTCATGCACTATGATTGTGCCTGTGAATAGCCACTACACTACAGACTGGGCAACATAGTGAGACCCTGTCTCTGAAATATATATATATATATTTTTTTTTTTTTTTTTTCTTTTACCAACCAGAAAAAAAGTTTTTTTACTTTTGTTTTTCATTTTCATTTTTCCTGCCTTTGACAGCTAATTATTTGTGGATTTTTATTCCCCTTTGAGAAAAAGATAACTGTTTCCAGTAAGGCTTCTAGAAAATTCCATGGAAACCTGTGAGTACAATCTTCTATTTGCAATTACTGTTTTAAATTCAATGCCATTGATATATGTGGAATTTCAGTGCTGCTTCATTAGCTATAATAAATTATTTTATAGTAATAAATAGAAATTATTGTCATTAGGCTGAAATGTGATATTAATACAGCAATTAGATACCATCTAATCTTCTATTTTCGAATCTGATGACAATCAGATAAAAAATCTCTTATAATTACTAATTCACTAAAATAGGAAATTTTCACTTCAAGAAATAATTACTATAAGAGCAGATTGGTATTTTCTTGCTAACAGTAATATTTTATGGAATTTTAAACCCTTCATATGTCCATTAAATGAACCATTAACAAGTAAAGTTTATTTCTTCATTTTATTTTATTTTTTTGAGACAGGGTCTGGCTGTCACTAGACTGGAGTGCAGTGGCATAATCTCGGCTCACTGCTATCTCTGCCTCCTGGGCTCAAGCAGTCCTTCCACCTCGGCCTCCTGAATAGCTGGGACTACAGGTGCACACCACCACGCCCAACTAATTTTTATATGTTTTTGTAGAGATGGGGTTGCCCAGGCTGGTCTCAAACTCCTAAGCTCAAGCGATCTGCCTGTTTTGGCTTCCCAAAGTGCTGGGATTACAGGTGTGAGCCACTGTGCCCGGCCTACTTCCTCATTTTAAATATGCATTTTTTTCTGTGTGCTTCTTTTAAATATACTTTTAAGGATCAAATTATTTCAAATACAAGTACCCTAAGGGAAAGTCTGTTGACTTTTTTTAGCTTAATCTTTCAGAGTTCATTTATTGCTCATGATAGTACATCAAGGCCATCAGATCATCATAAATTTTATTCAGTTCCTTTCCTTTTGGTGTCCACTCCTTCTTTCAACTACCTCATTTTATGTTTCTTGGTTTTTTAAAATTTCACTAAAATTTACCTATATTGTATTTCAACTCAATTTTTTACCATTGGACAAAGCTGATATGCTTTCTCCCACTCACTTTAACAATTATGAGGAAAATCATCCCTACCTTATCGAAATAATGATTCCAATAGAGGCACTTTCAAAAATAAACTGAGGGAGGAGTAGGTATGGTCAAGCCTAGGTACACTAGGGGAATTAACTTTTGGATAATATGGCTTTTTGGTATCTTACAGATCAGACCAGTGCAGACAGCAACCTTGGCATTTTGTAAAAGCTTGGAAGTTATTCATTTAGTCTACAAGTAATTATTGAGTATTTATATACAGGGTGCTATACAAATGCCTAGAGCCAAAGAATAGGTTCTGTTAAGCTGTTCTAAAACTTTATTGGAAATTTTCATCAGAGGTATTTTACTCTTACATGCAAAAATAAACAGTTGGTACTTTTTGCACTCACAGTTTGAGTGAAATTTATATGCACTGTGTACTAGGTATTTATTGGTGCACAACAAATTATCCCATAACTTAGCTACTTAAACATTTATTATCTTATGGCTTCTCTGGATCAGGAATCCAGGAACAGCTTTGCTAGGTGCCTCTGCCTCAAGGAATCCACAAGGCTGTAATCAAGGTGTCAACTGGGCTTAGGTCTCATCTGAAGACTTGACTGAAGGAGGCTGTGCTCCAAACTCACTCACATTGTTGTTGGCAAGATTCAGTCCCTCACGGGCTTGTTGGGCTTAGGTCGTCAGTTCCTTGATGGCTCTTGGCTGGAAACTTCCTTAGTTCCTTGGCATATAGCCTCTCCACAGGGCTATTCAAAACATAGCAGTTTACTTCCCTCACAATGAGGGGGCTAGGAGACAGCAAGAAAGAGCAAATAAGGCAGAAGCCAATGTCTTTCTGCAGCCTAATTACATAAGTGACATCCATCACTTTTGCAATATTCCTTATATTACAAGTGAATCACTAGATCCAACCCTGACACAAAGGGAGGAGATTACACAGAATATCAGTACCAGGAGGTGGGGTTTATTGGGGATCACTTTAGAGGCTGCCTACTGCACAATGGTTTTGGAAAACTGTCTTTTGATTCTGTTTTATAGTTGAGCTATAGTCTATTAAGTATCAAACAGCTTTAAATTTAACATTGATTTTAAAAGTACATGAAGCTCCATTTTACATGCATATTTTCTCCAGCATGACTCACTGCCTAGCCTAATTTTGTACATTTTTATGTACGTAAGGAGAGTATAATGAAAGTAGTTTATATTTGTCAATATGTATTTTTTTCAAAATCAGCTATGGCAAGTATTTAGGTTCTTGTAAAATAAATCAAGCAGAATATGTTAGCTCATTTGAAGTTTACCTTCCCCAACCAGAAGTGAAAAGAAAGTGAGATTTTTATCAAATAGGGAGGAGAGATAGGGACCCTTAAAATTTTTTGGTGCTTCAAACAAAGCTTCATGGCTTTATTTTAAAAGTCGGGAATAAAAAGGAAACAAGAAATATGTGCATATGAATTTAGAATGGGCAACTAAATATAAACACTATACACTTTGGAGATATATGGTAGGTCCAGTGCAGTCTGCCAAACTAGCATCTGAGAGAAATGTAATACCTTAAAATGCCTTTTGGAAAAAAAGTGAGTTGTGCTGTCAAATAAGTTTCTAAAACATTTCATACCGTATCATCTTTTTATTTTTCTATTTTCTTTTTTTGAAATAGGGTCTTGCTCTGTCACCCAAGCTGGAGTACAGTGGTGCCATCGTAGCTCACTGCAGCCTCTATCTCTCACCTCAGCCTCCCAAGTAGCTGGGACTACAGGTGTGCACCACCACACCTGGATAATTATTATTATTATTTTTAGTAGAGATAAAGTCTCACTGTATTGCCTAGGCTGACCTTCAGCTCCTGAGCTCAAGCACTCCTCCCATTCCATCCTCCCAAAGTGCTGGGATTACAGGTGTAGGCCACCATGCCAGGAAAGATTCACTCTAAGGTTCGGAGAAGTCCTGAAGTAAAAAATTTGTTTAACTTCAATTCAAATTTTTCCAATTTTTCCAATTTTTTTTTTTTTAACCAAGAAGGTGCTTATAAAATGTTGGCCAACAGAAAGGTTGATTGACCTCAGATTTGGATTCTTATAGAGGCTTTAAGTGACCAAATATGTACAGAGAAAAGGAGGTTAATTTTTGTTATTATTCTGTTGCCATCCTAGTGCAAGCTGCCATCATCTCTCAATGGATTATTTTAGTAACCTCCTAATCTCCTTGTGTCTACTCTTATTCAACTACATCCCACTCTTCACACAATGGCCAAAGTATATTTTTAAAATTATCATTCAGATTGTGTCACTTTGCTGCCTAAAATCTTCTAAAGGTATCCCATTGTATCTAAAAGTCCAGAAGAATTCTGCAAACTGAGACTTTGGGATAAGATGGTGGATAGGAGGCAGGGCTAATATGCAGCTCCCACTTGGACATACAGAACAGCCTGTGGGGTCTCATACCATGAACTTGTGCTCCAAGAACTACTGCAGGAACATACCAAGAAAACCAAAGGAATACACAGACCTTTGAAAGAAGCAGCACGCCGCTGCAAATTCCATGAGACAGGTGAAAAACTGTGAGTTCCCAAAGTGTGGGAGGGGGAAAACCTGCCTCCAAACACACATCCCCACTGGGGAATCTGAAAATCCAGATCATGGGAGAGGGATATAACCATACCTAGAGATGAAATGGATTTAAGAAGCTGAGTGAAATATAAAAGCAAAAGCAGTGGCAGGAAGTGCTTTGCAGGCACTCTCAGTGTCCAGCTTGAGCCCAGGGAAGCCATCCATGACTATATGTCACAGGGGCCCTCAGAGAAGGCAGCCAGTGGAATTAGGGAGGGGTCACAGGGTGAAAGAAACTCCCAACTGAAATTAGTAATAATTTTGATGAGGCAAAAATTTTCTTGAGGAGAATCAGTGGGGTTGGGGCCGCCCGGAGTGCTGCAAATGGGAACTGCTACAGATACAAGTGTGGGAGTCACCACCAACGGAGTGGGCAGGCAGGGAGGGGCAAGTTCCAAAAACCTTGCTTACCTTCTTAGCAGGGAAGCTCATGACCTGGGGCAAAGTCCGAGTAGGGCACTATGGGAGTAAGACCGGCCTCACCAACTGCGTGGGAGCTGGGTGAGACCCTTCCTACCTGCTATCACTTATTTCTCTGCCAAACTATATGACACCGCAGGAGGCAGCCACAGTTGCCTCTATAACATAACCCCATTGGCTGAGGACCACCCCCCTATTCCCCATAGTGGCCACAGCAAGCCCTTCCCAAGGAGAGTCTGAGGCCAGATCTGCCTAATCCTGACCCCACCTTATGGTATTCCTCCCCCCTGGTAATCGAACACAAAAGACAGAAACTCTTGAGAGCTTTATGGCCCTGCCCATTGCCTGAGAAACCAAAATACATAACCTGGCCAACTTAGGGCAAGCTTAGATCCCCCTACTACTGGTGCTCTCTTGAAAGCACCACCTCCTGGCTGGGGGCCAACTAAGGCCATTACAGCAACTCATGACAGTATAACCCTTATCCTAGGGGAAGACAAGAGCTACTTCCAGGATGTTCCTGGAACATCCTGTCTAACCAGAGGTCCTGAGTGCATCCACATGACAACTTCACTGCACCATAACCAGCATTTGAGAAAGCCAGCACCTGAAACATATCTACAACTAAGGACTCTCACAAAGTCTACTTTACTTCCCTGCCACTTCCACCAGAGCAGATGTGGTATCTATGGCTGGCAGACCTGAAGACTGATCACATTACAGGCCTCTTAACAGACATTCCCCAGTCACAGCCCAGAGCCTTGTAGCCCTGCTGGGTGGCTGGACCAAGAAAAGCAATAACAATCACTGCAATCTGGCTCTCAGGAAGCCCCATCCCTAGGGTAAGGGGGAGATCACCATATCAAGGGATCACCTCTTGGGACTAGACAATCTGAACAACAGGCTTTTAAGTTCCAGAGCATTCCACTGAAATAGTAGACCCAAATAAGAAGAAACAAAAAAAGTAATTCTGGTAATCTGACA